TGTGTGTGTGTGTGTGTGTGTGTGTGTGTGTGTGTCCGTGTGGTTGTCTAGTATTTCTGCTCCAGTCCCGTTGATTTGAAGTATCTTCCTTTTCACTTCACATACAATCCATGGCTCTATTGGGCCAAAACTAATTTTATATTGATTTATGTTGTGCATGTAAATCTAAGCATACACGCCATGTTTATTTTTCCTTTCTTGAAGTTGATGCAATGTCTGACCCCATGCTGACAGTGATGTATGCTTTTATTTAAAGATATTCAGTAAAAATGACTCACTTTTTGAGTCTATTGCCCTCGCCACCTCTTTTTCCTTCTCCCTCTCTCTCTCTATCTTTCTTCTGCCAGGGAAACATTCAATGAAATTGTATACTTTTGAAAAGCTTAATTTGATTGCCTCCTACAAAGTGAAGGCTGCAGTCAACAGTAATTTCTAGATTTTCAAAAGACAGCTAATTGATACAGAGCAAGCTGTGTGATTCCTCTCCAGCACTTTTATGCACAACCTCCTTTTATGTACCAGTCCCATTCCCAGAATAATATATATATAATATTTGTTCTGCTGTCTAAAATTATGACTCCTTTCAATGTAAATGTAGGCCTATATCTATTTTTTCTCTAGGTTGTTGGTTAAATGTTAGAATGAATATAAGACAATGAATGATTTATCATGGCTGTGAGGTCTGTTGTAACACTAGTTATGAAATAAAAAAAATATAAAATGCACAGAGAACATTATTCAAAGTATTTAGATATTAATGTATCAGCTATTTTAAATCACTGTAAAATTTTAAATAAATAACTAATAATCCATATTAATTATATTAAGAGTTTTGTCTCTGCTAGCCTCTAACAAAATTTAGCATACACGTACATTATATCTATACTCCAATAATTCAGCAGTAAAACGCCTCCTTAGACGTTAGATTAATGTTTTGATTATGCATTTTTATCTTTTTATGGTCCACTCTCATTTCCAAATCCCCTTTCCAGAAAGAGTCAAAAAGAGAGAATGCCAAAACTCATTTTAATAAAATAACCAGATTAGTATTCCTGAGGGTTAGTGTAAGCTTTGCCCTGAAGTGATCATAACTCATAACTCCATTTTCAGGAGGCCACTTTGTCCGCAGCTCCTGTGCTTCTGAAAGAGACTCTCTGCTGTGCTCTGTATACCATTAAAGCCATAAAAATCTGTGAAATCAAGTCTAAATGCTCTGAAGACGTGGTTGCACTGAAACTAAATGATAGACTAAAACAAACTAA